ATTAATGTAAATAATAAATATTAATTATTTGCCCTGAATTATTTTCCTATTTCGCACATTGCTGCTAAAAAAAGGCGATTTTTTTGTCATTAACAAGTTTGTTTACCAAGCTTTAACACACTCACGCTACTTTGTTTGCAGTTCAATTGAAAGTAAATAGACGAATGTAATAATACATTTAATTGATATACATTTGGACACAGAACGGACAGGGCGAGCGAGAGAGAGGGAGACAGAGAGAGGGGGAAAGAGTCAACATAGACTAGCTGACGAGTAGATAAATAGACTGGCTGCGGCATGGCTGATTGACCCTGTTGCCCTAAGGCCCCATCGTCGTGCCACTTATTTGCAAAAAGAAAAAAATAAAAATGAGCTGTAGAGGCAGGGGAGGAAACGCCGAGGCAGCGAGGAAGGTGCTTCCGACACGCCTTTATATGGGCACATTTTGGGGTTTTGCGTGGGACCGTTGTTTAATTAAACCATTTGGAAGCTGATTGCGTTTGCATTTTAGCTCTCGTTGCTATTGTTGTTGTTGCTGCTGTTGTCGTTGTGCGTGTTGTTCTCTCGTTTTCAGATAAATCAAATTTAAATGTTAGAGTGAAATTCAAATGGCGCCGCTGCCGCTGCCGCTGCCACTGCCACTGCCGCTGCCGCTGCCGCAGCCACTGCTGCCAACCCGTCAAGTAAACATGCCGTCGACAGTCGACGCTGCGGTATGGGATTAAAAAAAGAACTGGGCGTATCAGGGCGGCACGGGGCGTGGCCGCTCGGGGAGTGTTGTCTCAAGCCGCAAACACAAAAAGAAGAATCGGAATCGGCCGCACGACGGCAGTTTGTTTGGTTAAAATTTCAGGCGCTTTCAGCTCCCGTGGCTGGCTTTGTGTATATTTTAATGTCATTTAAATACATAAAAAAGTCTCTATATAAATAAATACAAAAGTCTTTTTTTGCTGTATTCAAATTACATTTAAATAAACAAATATATATAAAGATAGAAATAAATACACACATATATATACATACATATTTATTTATATATTTAAAATACATTGCGCGATTTAACATCAAAGAAGCGAATTACAGCTGCTAATTCGCTTCGGTCATACATAATTTAATAACTACATTGAGCTGCACAAAGTATGCCAGATGAACTATGAACTTTCTAGTGGGGAGTGAATTTTCTAATTTAATTATTGTGTATGAAATTGAATACATTTTATATCAAGTATACGCCATGTGCTGAACTCTCTCTTAGTATTTTAATTAATAAAAGTTTTCTTTTCGTGGAATCAAAGTTTTTATCGTTGAATATATTTGCATTAACTTAATTTCAATATTATTTGCGAAATTTAATATATTTTACATTAAGTATACGCCATGTGCCAAACTCTCTTTTAGTATTTTAATTAATTTTAGTTTTCTTTTCGTGGAATCTACATTTTTGCAGTTGAATATATTTGCATAAGCTTTAATTTAATTGCAATATTATTAAATGAAATTGAACACATTTTATATTAAGTATACGCCACGTGCGGAACTCTCCTATATTTGAGTGGTGGAATATAAACATAAAATACTCAAATGCAATTACTGAAGTCTAGTATATAGTGGCTTATTTAAAACTGTATGAGTTATGAAAGGCAAATTTGTCGGCAGGGCGGCTCAGCTCCTGTTAGGGTCCACCTTGGATTCCTCTGTCATTTGCTCTACAACATTCAGATATTTATAGAAACTCATGGCAACATATTTGTTCAGTGTTTGCTTTCTAGATCTTTTGCCTTTTTTTGTCACAGTGCCAGACTGATATGACTTCAGCGAATTGATTTAGTTTTTCCTTGTGATATTATACAATTTCTAAGCACTTGACGGCGGATGAAATTTGCCTAAAGTTGGGCTGTTGATTGGAATCGGAATGCTTAATGTTTTGTTTCATTGACGAGTCTTCAATGGGGTTGACAATGTATTTCATTTGTAGTCCTCTTCATTCCCGACGAAGGGCATTTTGTAGATTATAGTTTGCTGAGTAGCTGTTTCCCATATGAAGCACTCGTATCTGTAAATAGGTTATATTTTTAGACTCTAAGCTATTCGACTTGTGTTTTGAGTAGCCAGTCAATCTCTTTCTCTTTCTCCCTTGTATTTATGGCGCTGATAGTGTTGACGATGTGTTATCGAAATGTCAAGTCTAAAGTACTTTTGTGAACCTACAAAGTTTGTCAGCTGTCCAAGTGTAATGTGTGCGCAGTGTTGTTTCTCTTGGTGAATGTCATTTGAGTTGCTTTCCACGAGATAACCTAATGTGGCATTGCGACTTCGCTTAAAACTGTTATTGTCATACTGAAGTTTTCATCCGCTGCTCTCAGCTTATCCAGCTGAAGCTTCAATGATTCCAACTTGTGCAATGGCCTTCAAATTAATTGCGGTCTCCAAGAGACTTGCGGCTGCAGCATTTGAAGCTAATGGGATTGTAATTGCTTAAATGGCCTAAAGGGACTCGGCACATATGAAAGCTATGTTTTGCTATTAGTATCCCACTATATACACATACGCATGTGCTTACATGTGTTGCGGCTACACAGATAAGGCAGCCAAGGGTCCAAGGGCAATCAAGCCTAATGATGTAGATTTCTACGAACTCATCTGCGCCCAGTTGGCTTTAATTGCTTAAAGTGGGCTAATATAATTTGAAAATCACATCTGACCAAATCAAGCTGTGCAAATTGAAAGGCCTCAAATGTTAAGGTGGGCTTGAATCCTTGACTACAAGCTCAAAGAGAGAGTTAGAGTATCCAAATATCCAGCAACCATGCGCTTTTGCAGTTGCTACAGGATATTCAATGCTTTAGCACTATATATATCCTTGCTCAGCAGCCATTGTCTCTCGCTCGCGCTGTGGCGCTGTGGTAATAAACCCAAAGTCTATGGCGCACACACATAAAGCAATACATTTGCAGCTTTGTTTGTGAGTGTGTCTATGTGTGTGTGCGTGTGTGTGTATACACACACACGTAACCGTACTCTGCGGATTTCGATTTTTGTGTGCACCAAAAAGAAATTTAAATGAGATTTACGTGAGACTCACGTTTTCATTTGTTGATTTCGATTCGTGTGTAACGGTGCGTGTGTGTGTGCCAGTTCGTGTGTGCTTCAGCTTCTTAGCTAATTATATAGCTGCGCTCTTTAATGCTGATTAGGTGACACGTTTTTCACGTACTCGTGCAGGGCGTTGTTCCGGCTTCGAATTGAGCCAATCGACAGTCAGATGCTATTAATAGTGCTCATTATTTTCATTTTGGCAATGGATAAGTCAGCACTAAATACACAACTGCTCCACACAGCAGAGAGTGTAGGTGTACCCTATGTGTGTGTGCGTGTGGCGAACATCAATTGAGTTGACGGCCTGTTGGCGCCAGCAGTGAAAAACACAACAGAGCAGCAAAGCCCAGTAGACACATTAAGCTGGCATAGTCATCCAAACACACACACACACACACACACACACACACACACAGAGTGGCAGAGAGAGGCGCGTGTACACTAGTATGGAATCACAACACGTGTCACTCTTTGGCGAGCACCCTATAGATGCGAGTAGGCCGGGTGTGCTCGTATATTAATGAAAAGTGCACTCAACTATGAAGCACTTTCAAAGTTCTTCTCGAAGGTCTCGCATGTCTTCCAATCGATTTCCTACCCAAATTCGTTGTCAAGGTAAGATAGAAAACGCTTTTGGGCTCGCAAGACGCTTCCCAAGCGCTTTCGTCATTTAATAAAAGCAATCTTAATAAAAAGTAGATGACTTTATATATAATATATATATAAACATTTATATATATATTTAGCTCAGTTCTCAGTTATCAGTTATCTGCACTTAGAGGACTACTGCGCGTATGCGTAATGTCCTGGCTGCTGTGTTCGACTGAGCACCTAAAAGTATGCAAGTATTTGCTGTTTAAAGCGCTCTTGTGCCCTGGCTTACATGCATTTGCCATTGTCCCCAAAAAAGGCTTGTTTCGTATGAGAAATCGTTCGTATTCATTCTGCTAATTGAAACTAATCACAGGCACAATCAGTCGAGGCTTTAATTGATTGTCAACTAAGAGCGAAGCTTTATTATAATGTTTAGAGCCATAGACAAAGTTCCCTATGATCAACTTTCTCTGTGATCAACTTTCTCTCTCTGCGCTCCTAATGATGCAATACCCTGTAAGTACTTGGCTCCACAGTACGTATCGACTCTATGGCACTTCCGCTAATATGACAATGTGACAGCTCGATTCGAATTGCCAGTTCCGACCACACAATGTGTTTGTTGTGCTGTGAGACGACTTATTCGCACTGATAGATTGCTGGAATAATTGGCTGAGTGAATACCTGATTGACAGCTTGGCTCTAAATGCTGCAGAGTTATTGTTAAGCGATATTTTACAGTGAATTATCGTTTGATTAAAGTTAAACTGCAAGCAGAACAGGCCCAAGCAATATTGCGAAAAACTTTATAAGCTAGTTACAAAATAAACTTTCTTTGCATATGTCAAGTTGTGCTAAAAATCAATAAAGGAAATCAACATCAATTGATTGTCGCAGCTTATCGAAAAGGCGGGGGAAAAAGTTCAAACTCGTTTAATTGCAAAACTTTCAATGAGCCAAGAACTCAACGTATTTGCATATTCATAGCCAAACAAACGCCCACAAATTTCGTTGATATTACATAACAAATTGCAGGGGTCCCATCTCTCAGCTTGTCATATTACATAATGCACACAATCAATTTATATGCTTGATGATATGCATATACACACATCTATGTGTATGTATGTATATGTATACGTATGCGTGTTTGTGTGTGTATATAAAATATATAAAAAGTGGACAAAGTTTGTGCACGCGCAACGCGAACAAAGCGAAAGGGAGCTCAGCTGTGCGGCTCATTTTAATTTGTTGAAAAGTTCTTTGGCTGCTGATTGAGCTGATGATTGTGAATTGTTGTATCGTTGCAGAGACGTAGTCGGAGTACAGGCCAGCCAAGATGCGTCGCTCCTCATTCACGCCCGTGTTCAACCTGAGCACCCAAGAGCCGCTGATAGTTGTCGAAGAGTCGCATGCCGTCGAGGACGGCGATGAGCTGGAAGGTGCTGCTGGTGGCTTCGATCCGAGCACCACCAAGCGCACCAACAGCGATGACTCGGAGCCGGACTCGCCGGTTAATCCGTATCTGCTGTGCCCCTTTCCCGATATGCAGCAGCGGCGCAAGCACTCATTGCCATCGCTTCAAATAACTGAGGGCATCACCGCCAGCCAGGTGCGCCGGCTGTCCGAGGTGGGCGGCGAAACGGGCGGCCTGAGCCCGAAGGAGGTTGAGTTTTTGGCCACGCTCTCGCAGAAGACCAACCCCACTGCAGGTGGACGCCGTCACTCCGTGGTCACCATATCGGCTGTGCCGCCAACGCTTTTTGGACGCAATCGGCGCGAGTCCATTTCCGCCGTCTCCTTCAGGTAAATGACATTTTTATTTGCCACAGCCAGGCCACTTTATGCAGTAATTGGAAGTTTTGTGCGCCATTAGCGCTGCGAGTGCCGACCCACCGACAGATGGCAATGCCAAACAGGACATGGCAGGACATGGCCCTTTGACCCACGCCTAATTGAATTGTGCCGCTGGCTGCCCAATGCTTTTGTGCTGTGCCAGCAACAATTTTTCTGATTTCCTGGCTGCCTTAACCTTTTTAGCTCCAGCCCAATGTAACCAGCCATAAGCATGCTTGCGAAAGGACCCAACCCAATGTCCGATAACGATGCTATAAGCAACAAATAATACTGCCTTTTCATTTCCTAGATCAAGCTCTATAACTAGACTTCATTTTCCCGCTGAAAATGGCACAATTCAGAAATCAATATCGATTAGATGTGCTTTGAAGTTAGCCTTGGAGATACGTGCATAGTTTCCATAAGCTACACAAATAGAAAGGCAATTTTGCAATTCTCAACTGGTTCAAGCGTTAAGTCTTAAGTCACACAGACATAGAGGCTTGCTTAGCGCTGAGCCTAGATCATAGCCAGACATCAGCAGAAATAACTTCAGTTCGTTATTGAAGCTATTTCGTGATACGGATATAGAGATGGACTGATATAGGGCGCCTTAGGAAAACTAGTTTGGCATCGCAAACAGAGAAAAGTCTTAACAGCTTAGACAAAACTTGACTCAGACTGAGCAAATGTGATTCTCCAATTAACTCCAGCTCTTATGCTTGCCTATTCAGTTATCTGACTTATGGTTTTGTCCTTTCAGCGGCAGTCGTCGTGGCAGCGGCATTGGCGGTCCACCGCTCACCGATCATCGCGGCAGCATACACAACTTGCAGCTGGACATCATGGACGGGATCGTGCAGCAGCGTAAGACGCGCAGCGGCAGCGGCGTCTGGACAGCACCCGTGCTCCAGGAGGCCGACAGCAACGTGCCCGTTCAGACATAAGCGGCGCGAGCACTCAACACACACGAATCAAATTCACGGGCAACTGGACAATTGGCATGAGCGCAGGCTATTTAATAATTCGTTTTTATCGACTCTTTCCGCACACCGAACCTCAAACCACACACACAAAACACATGCAGAGCTTCTAGCTCTCACTTCCCCTCATCTGTATCTGTCACCAAAATGGGAAAAAAAACAAAATTTCTATTTTTCCGCCTTCCTTTTTTTTTTTGCTGCGACAACGCATAGAAAAATCAACAAACAAACCGCAATTGTCAAAATGAAAATGAAAATGGAAGCCGCATCACGTAAATGTTGAAAATGAAACTGCGGACAGGGAGCGAAAATGACACAAGCAGCGGCAGCGGCAGCGAGAAGGAGAAAGGTAGTGAAAGTGAGTAGGAGTAAGCTAGAAAGAGAGAGGGAGCTAGTGGGGGAGCAATTTGAAGGACAGAGCCAGAGGGAAAATGGCAACAGCTGCAGCGACTACTGCTGTAAACGAGACAGACACAACCCGACTATTAGATACCCACTTAGCAGCTAATTAGCTTCAATTAATCGTGCAGTTTAACTATAAAGAGTGAGTCCTAACCGAAACTTAATCCTAAGAAAATACTAGATCTAAATGTTAGCACTAAAAGTAAGCCTGCATTTATGTAATCAAAAGCTGAGGGAGTTGCCTCAGTATCTACCAAACACATGCAAAGTGAAGTTGAGTTACAATTGGGCAGTACCCGACTAGCAGATACCCCACCCGACGCAGCCATTGCCTGAGATATGCGATTTCCTTTCCCACACCATATGCCCTGCCTCAGCCACCGGCAATGGGTAGCAAAGCAATTTGAAACGCTTGCAATATCAATGAAAACAACTGCAGCAATTAGCGGTTCCCATTAAAAAAACACCGTATCGCGAGTTGTTCCATGTTGTTTGATTTGCATAGGATGTTTGGCAATTTTTATCGACAGAAACTTTCCCAGTTCACAACCCGACCACCACAGAGAGGCTGCATTTAAGTAGACGCTGATGCTGCTGTTCATTTGAAGCTGCTGGTGACACTAATTGCATGCGCTTGGCAGCCCGTTCCATGCAATGAATGGTAACTGAAGTCGTTTAATGGGGCTCTGAATTTGTAACATGAATTCGCAACTTAACATAAAATGTGCACAGAATGAATGCTGCCTCGACGCAGCATACTTCAAGGACGGAACGGGTCAAGGACATCTATATATATACACACACGCACACACAAAGTTGAACACATTGTAAGACACACGCTGCTGCATTTCATGGCTTGCCGCTGCACGTGGCCCACATGGCGTATAAGTTATATGGGACATGGCCTCAATGCCAATGGCAATGCCAATGCCAATGCCGAATGCGAATGCGAATGTCGCTCTTAATGGCCATCGTTGTTCGCGCTGATAAACCACTCAACCACTCAACTGCTCAACCGCCCAGCCACCCAGTAACCCAGCCACCCAACCCACCAGCCCAACTCATCCAGCAGCATACAACAAAGCCAATCTCATTTTCAGCCCAATAAAGCTAATTTCATGCGGGCGAACAGCCATTAATTGAAATATGTGTTAGCTACCATTGCTCGTCGGACTAATTACGACAATCAAAATGCAATTCCAGCAGGCAAATGTCACTCTCTCATTCTCTCTCTCTCTCTCTCTCTCTCCCTCTCTCTGTCGCTCTCCTTTGTAGCTTGTGTCATTTTACACAAGGGCAAAACAGTTTCTTTTTGACAATTGATGGACCTCTCAATATATTCATAAATTGCATGCATTTTCAAAATATTCCCATTTATATATATATATAAATATATATATATATATATATATATATATATATATATATATATATATATATATATATATATATATATATACACTATATACTAAAATCCGCTTATTTAATGTTTGAAGTTTGCTTCTGAAGCACTGAGGATGCTGCTGTCGGCTCTGACCGACTGCCAAATACTCGGTAACATGTCCAAAACCTTGTTGGAGGTATACCCATATCCTAAACTTCCCTATGAGTAGCATGTCTCAGTTAAATTGGAATTGGAAATGGAATTTGAATTTGAATTGAATTTGAATTGCCATCTAAGCATATAGACTAGTAAATATTGAGGAATTGAGCAGTTAGTATGTGTGAACCGTCGCATTTATTGGTTGTGTTGTTGATGCATAATAACCAGACAGCCCAAGGAAACCACAATTGAAATAACCACCGCTTAAGAACCCACCAGGTAAACATAAACATGTACCTTATTGAAGTTAGTCAAATGTCGAAGTATCGAAGCACAGAGTCTCTCCTCCACTCTCTCAGTCTCAATCATTCGCTGTCGCAAGCACTTTTGAAACGGGTCCTCATTTTCTCACACACACACACATGCACACGCACCTCCCCATGCACCGGGTATTTGTTTCAATTACGGAACAATACTCCAAATATATAATAAGAATAAAAACGAGTTCGCAGAAGGCAAAGATGAGATGAAAATTGTAATAACTAAAGGAAAATCTAAAAAAGAAATTGTGGCATCTCATGGAATGCGAACGCAACTAGCAATTGTGTTTGGCATATCACACATACTTGCAAATTGTATTTCCAAATAATAATAATTATAATCGTAACAGTAATAATAGTGCAGCCAGAGGAAGGAGATCTTTAAAGTGTGTTATCGACGTTTTATTAGAGCATAGATTGTGAGTCTGTTCACAATACACAAACCAAAACGAGAGTTAAAATGTACCATGTACCTAAAAACTTTACACCTATGTACAACTAATAGCGGAAACTAATTTACCTACGTGTACTTTATATTATATATTGTTAGACCTTAAGCGATTGGCGGGCAACAAGTACTGCAAGCGTAACAATCAAGTCAAATCAAATTGAAGAAGTCGAGTCAAGTCAAGTCAAGTCAATCACTCCACCAATTATGATCATTGAACTCGGCTTGCTGTCTGCCCAGCCCAGCAGGTCAGCAGGCAGGCAGTTCGATGCACGCCTCCAAATACCTGCCCACCTACTGCTATCCCCTACTTTGAGATGTTGCAAGTGCGTAAGTCGACAAAATTCGATAAAGATTTTTCTCTAATTAGTCTTGATGTTGTTTCAGCGCCTACAGCTAAGCATACATATATAACTACACACACACACACTCAAATATATAAATATATATCTATATTTATATACAAATATAAATATATGCAGAACGAGTCTAAATACATGTCTAGGTGTTAGGGCATTTGGGTATGTCGTCAATTCGTTTAAGTTGCATGCAACATTAGCTTAGCTTGTACATAATGCTACGTATGCCGTTATCCTCGCGTCACGCATTCGAAACAACTGTTTTATTTTCTATTCCGATAATCAATATAAACTGATTCGATTCAATAGTCAATAGCAGTGCTTACTGTACCCAACGTTAGTCCTTGGAACAGAGCCTATTAAATGTTTGAATTGACAAAATGTCGCTGGACGACGAAAAAGTAAAAAAAAAGAGAAAATATAAAACAATATTCTTATTTTTTAATATATATAAAAACATAATGACATACAAATGCACACTCACGCACACACAGTCACACACACAAGTGCAAAAGGCGAACATGAATACCTTAAAGCGTGTTAAAGGATAATCACATGGAAAGAGCGCTTAATATTAGAAACTATATAAACAAAAGATATATATATATATATATATATATATATATACATAAAAATATATATATATATATATATTATCTAGAACTTGTAGAAAGTATATATATATATACATACATACATATATAGAAGCTATTATCATAACGCAAGAGCAATCAATGTTTAAATTTATTAAATGTTACAAAAATGTTTTAAATAATAATAAAAACTATAAATTATATATATACACAAATATATACATAACTATATATATATATATATATATATACATATATATATACATGTATACATGCGCACACATATGTCCTCTGTATATGCATATGTGAGCCGAAACTAATTCTCGAACTATTATTTATAATCAACTATGCTAGAGTTATGCGTAGCTGTCAAATATTACAACAACAATTATATATAAAACTATATATATAAAGAGAGAAACTAACCCGAAAACAATCACATCCCCAGAAAACCAGAAAGAAATAAAATCTTAATTATCTAACGGATTATAATATTGTATAAATCAAAATAAAGCTGCAAAATGAATTTGAATGAATTTGTTGTTCCACATTTTACTTTGTTTGTTTTGTTGTTGTGTTTCGACAAGTCTTTTAGATAATCGTGTGTGTGTTTTTTGTCATTAGCGTATGGTTAACAAATGTATATCAATATTACGTTTGAGAATACTCGTATTTTAATTATATATTTATTATTAATAACAGGCAAAATACACATTTAATTACTAATTATAACGATTACTTACATTAACTTTAAGCGAGTGCCCACAAAAGGCGTCAGCAAACACATAAATAAAGAAAACGATTTCCTTATATTAAAAATTCGGCGTTTTTATTTAACTGCCACACGCTGCGTATGAGCAATGTTAACAGGCCTCTAACAGTTGAATGGAGCTTTTATGTATGTTAAGGCCGCTCGTCCTTAAAGCTTCTCAAAGCTCAAGCAGCATCGAATGGAAAAGCCTCGATCCGGCAGCTTTCCATACAAGAGAGCTTTTAAATTAATTCAGTTGTCATTAACTTCACACATAGATGGCGCTGCTTAGCGAACGCAGCGAGTTGAAATCAACTTGCGATGCACGACTCAGACACATGGCATTTACATGTAACTAGCATGTAGATAGTTAACAATAACCTAATGTCATGCTCCAGAACTTTACAACTATTTGACCGCACGCAATGGCGGCTGAAGAGCCCAATACACTGATGTGATAAGCGTCACAACATCTAATTTCGAATGTATTTCATTTTGCATGCGAGCAACAGGTGTATGAATTGACCTTCGAAAGCTACCTTTGTACCTCAAGTTCGTCTCATACATCTACTCCTTACATGACGAAAGTTGGAAGGAAAAAAGCTTTCAGAACTTGATTTCAGGTTGCAAAATTTGGACAGCGAATGAAGGAAGTGAACTTTTTCCTTTGTTGAGACATAATCATTTCAAAAACAAACTGAACATATTTAAAAGTTGCTGAAAGTACACATAAGTTTATTCCCTTCCATGTCAGGCATAGCACATTTATTAGTAATTCAAAGAAAT